TGACTGAAATATTACATTTCTATGGAGAATGTAAAGTTTTGTTGGTTTTATAATGAGTGAAGTATGCGTGCGAATGCAATTGGCGTGTGTGGTGATACCTATTACGTCAATTACTTCCGGTGTTTGTGAAATAAACACGAAAATGTACAAATTGTGATAGGAGTACATCATACGTGTTTCACATAGGTTGTCGTATGTTTAGCATGCATGACGATAATTGTTTTGAGACTTTTTTGTTATTTACGGACATACTGTATAGAAAAATGAGGATAATTTGATTAATATTGAAAGATAATATAATAGGCTGTAAAATGAGATCATTAGGGTTTAATTAGGTTGAGTGGTTATTGAATTATTAATTAAAAAGTAAACAAAATTAGTTTTTATGTAAAAATTTTGAAAAATGAAGTAAAATCATTTTTGAAGTTGATTTTAAGACATTTATATACACCCTGTATATAAAAATTTGATGGAACTGGATAGAGAATTTAATAGGCTACAAGACTACTACTACGAGACTACTTTTGTTTAATTTACATCAGTGGTTATTGAGTTATTATTAAAAATATAAACAAATTGAAATTTTTATAAAAATTCTTAAAAATTTAAAAAAATCATTTTTTAGATTAATTTAGGCATTTAGGTACACCCTGTATAATTAAGCTTAAGGAATATTGAAAGACAATTTAATAGGCTACAAAATGACACTATTTTTATTTAATTAACATGAATGGTTGTTGAGTTATTAATAAAAATATAAACAAATTGCAATTTTTTTTGGGAAAATAGTTAAAAATTATTTAAAACCAACTTTGAGGTCAATTTTAAGCCATTTGAATACACCCTGTATACTAAAGCTTTATGGATATTAAAGGATAATTTAATAAACTACAAAATGAGCTTATTTAACTTCAATTAGCCTAAGTGGTTATTGAGTAATTAATAAAAGTATCATAAAAATGAATTTTTTCTACAAAATCGCACAAAAACATTTTCAAACTTAATATTCTCCTAAAATTTTTAATACTATACTACAACTTTATACATTATTTGAAAGACAATTTAATATACTATCCAAAAATTCAAATCTTCCCTAGCTTAATTAGTTTTCACGTAATTAACAAAAAATCAACACAAAAATTCAATAAGTTGTGTAAAACCTCATAAAAATCAAAACAATTCACACTTCTATATTAATTCTATATATATTTATTTCAAAAATATATTTAAACTCTAAAAAAGTTAACGTCTTTTTGGTTTTTGGGGTCAACCTTGGTTCGCCTTGAGCGTTGATTACGCCCGTTCGTCCGCGCCTCAATTACATAAAGTTCGCGCAAATAAAAATAGCGAATCGTTTATTTCAGTGTTCAGTGTCGGCGCCAAAAATTTCACTACACCTTGTACTTTATACGCAAAGTATTTTTATGCCGCACGCACTATTCGCAGTTTGTTTTATTCTCTTCGCGCATTTGACGTCACGCGAAATCTCAAGCAAAATTATGCAAGCGCGCGGCCGCGAAACTCCCAAAAAGCGCGCCCCGCATGATCAATGATCACATGCTAGGCGCACACGAGACGAGACTCATGTGTCTCCCGGAGTGTGGAGAGAATAAATAGAAAATACGTATTGGACGCAAATGACGGCGGCTATTTTTGTGATCAAGTCATGTGCGGAAAATCCACGAGTGAGGGATTGTGAAAAATGGACTTGAAATGTGTTTATTGACGTGATAACGTCTTTAAAATCGTTTTACGGGTGACCGGTTCAGAAACTGTGTCGCGAGGCCTCACGAGGCCGATCGCAGGTATACCCCCCTCTCGTTATAACCTTAGGCTCCCCGCACACTACAAACTTTTTATCGGCCGATATTTTGATCGGGTTGGGCTGTGAGCGCGCACACAACGCCAACTAAACAGTTGGGTTTGTGGTGAGTGCGCACACTAGACAACAGTCGGCCGACTGCACCAATACTCTGAGCGAACTAAATTGATCAAGTCGGCCGACTAAACAATCGGTAGTTGTGCGCGCTTGCGACGAGCTCCATACTGATATCGCAGTCGGCCGATAGTTGTTCTGGTTGGCCGATAGTTTAGTTTGAAAGCAGTTGGGTAGCCCATCAAACTTGTTTATCGGCCGATACAAAATCGTTGTAGAATGCTGACTTGCATACATCTTCATACTGATTATAAGCCCGACCAAACTATCGGCCGATAAAAAGTTTGTAGCGTGCGGGGAGCCTTAGTTTTCGTTGAATGTTTAACAGTAAAACAAAATGTGAAGTGCAAGTGAAGTGTTACAACAATTGCAACAAACAAAACTTATATCACCAATAAGACGTTATCACGTAAACATCTCGATCGTAAACCTACTTTACAAACAACCATTTTTTTTAATTATTGTTATTAATATTATTGTTGTTGTTGAATCAGGGGATGTATTTTCGTGGTATTGAGCTTTGAGTATAAATTTTAGTATTTTTTTTATTGTTATTTATAGAATAAACTTAGTTGAAATAAAATTTGTGCTAATTTGTGCTCGTTATTGTTTAGTAAAAGTCGAATAACTTTTACTATACAACTATAGAAACTATAAAAGATACAAAATATATAAAAATATCATTAGAAAGATGAATTAATTGTCTTTGATGTGAGATTAATAAATATTTAATAAATTATTTATATTTGGTTCAAAAAAAATGTTTAAATAAAAATTGCAAAAAATCCGCAATGAAATTTTTTCCTTGAAATTTTTTTATTTTTAGTTTATAAAACAAAAACTATTCACAATACAAAAATAAAAATACAATCAATAGAAAGCTAATTAAACATACTTTAATTCCTATTATAATTTACTCCAATATTATTTTTAGTTTCGTCTCAATTTAACTTTGAAAACGAATATTAATCATGAATAGTTGAAAATGTACTTTGGCAGACACTTTTCATTTTATTATTATTATTATTACTATTTCATGTGTCCTATTTGATTATTTGGGATTTTCGCAGTATCATGTATGTATGCATTATATTTTATGAAAGTGTCAAGGTTGCGTTTGTTTTATTTTAAGTGTAAACGCGCACCTTGTTGCAATATTTGATTTAAATGTGCACAAGTTACTTCGGACACTATTGCGGGTTTTGCCAAGTTTTACAAATTGTCAGATTAAACACAAAGTAATAATGGTAGAGAAAATATGGAGGTGTTGTTGGATAGACAATTAAATTATCTTTTGATTTACGTATGAAATAATTATCAAATGTTGTTAATTTTCCCGATAATTAGGTTTAAAAATGTTTAAAGAATTTTTTTTAGGGAAAATGATTTTTTTTATACTTTTATTAATTACTCATTAACTACTAATGATAATTAAACAAACATGGTCTTATTTTGTAGCCTATTAAATTATCTTTCAATATTTATCAATATTTATTATATAGGGTGTATATAAATGTCTTAAAATCACCCTAAAAATAGATTTTTAATGATTTTTGAACATTTTTTACAAAAATCTGTTTTTGTTTTCATTTTTGTTAATAACTCAAGAACTACTTAAGCTAATTAAACAAAAATAGGGTCAATTTATTATCATTTTCCATAGATTCCAAATCTTCAATCCGATCTAATCTATCACTTTTATTTCCCGAGATATTCGCTATCAAAGTATATAAAAATAATCAATGCAATGATTTTTATGATTTTTACTTTACTCTCTCATAAAACAAATTTTCCACAAACCCTATCACTACTACTACTACTACTTTTACAACTACTACTAATGTACTCCTACTTGTTGAGTTGTTTATTGCATTCGTATTTTTACGACAACATTGACCGCATTTCACAATTTGTAACTGCAGGCCTGCAACGAATCCTAAGGGTCAAACTTACACCACCACGCGAGCGTTATCACAATCTTATCTGCTCGAAAATAAACTCGAAATACCCGGCTACTTGAATTAATAAAACTCGTGCTCCATCATTACATAAATTGGAAAAAGCGCAGCATGCATGCATTCAGAGATTGTTGTTATTTTAGTTTGGTTTGGTTTAATGAATGATCTTTGGATCTTTGGATCTCTTGTGGCTGAGGTCTAGCCGATTGAACTTTTGTATTATGCACTGTTGAACCCGCTCGCTGGGCTTTGATCTCGTTATCACGTTCCGCGTATTATTAATAAATTGTTTTCAAGTGAAAATGTTGAATGTGCAAAATTATATAATGGATTTTATGCTTTTGTAGGCGAATTTCATGTTATTTTTGGATTCATTATTTGTTTATTAATTATTTATATTGAAATAAACTGGAATTGGGCAAAATTTAAATTTTAAATTAATATAAAATTAATTACTTTTAATTATTGTTTATATAATGTTTTTTTATTATTTTTTTTATTCACAATTAAGAGTTTCAACTTTGAGGTTAATTTTAAGCCATTTATAAACACCCTGTATATTTTTACCTGATGAATATTTGTAAACAATTTAATAGGCTACAAAATGAGACTATTTTTGTTTAATTAGCTTCAGTGGTTATTGAGTTATTAATAAAAATGTAAACAAAAGTAGGTTTTCCAATAAATAGTTTAAAATCAATTTTTAGGTTGTTTTTAAGTTATTTTAATTAATAACTCAATAACTACTTAAGCTAATTAAACAAAAATAACGCCATTTTGTAGCCTATTAAATTATCTATCCGTATTCATAAAGTTTTTATATACAGGGTGTATCTAAATGACTTAAAATTACCTTCAAACTGATTTTAAATGATTTTTTACCATTTTTCCAAAAAATGCACTTTGTTTATATTTTTACTAATAATTCAATAACCACTCACGCGAATTTAACAAAATTAGTCTCATTTTGTAGCCTATTAAATTATCATTCAACCTACATTAAGTTTATCTATACAGGGTGTTTAGAAATGGCTTTAAATTAACTTCAAAATTCAAATTTTGCTTTAAAATACTGAAAACTAATACATTTTCCCATTTATTTTTAGGTAACCAAAGTGATAGTGAAGAATCACACACTGCCACCCCCGGCGGCGGTAAAAACTACCACTACCAGAGTTCCTACGCGTCGACAACCGCGTATAATAATCATAGCCACGGCCACAACCACCACTACAACGGCTATCAACCCGCATCGCACTATGGCGGCGTCTACCGCTCATACCGAGGCGCAAATGGCGCCGGCACAGCTACCACCATCAGTGGCGGCGGACCTAATACAAAATACGCCTACAGTAGTCAAGGTGGCGCACCGCGTGGACGATTCGGACATCATCCGCATCACTACCACCACAACCATCACTCGCAGGCGGCGGAGTGCAGGAAGGACGACGATACGAAAACGACGCCCCAGTCGACCGGAAGTAATGGGATTGGAAGTGCAACTGGGGGCACGAACTCGGATGGGAAAATTACTTTTAACGAAGGTAATTATGATTATATTTAAAAGTATAGTATACGAGTATACTTCTTGGGTTTTATAAATACAATGAGTGTGGTTTGATGTTGATGGTGATGCTGATGTATGTTATTGTTTGAATGGGTGTTGAGTGAGGAGACGGGTCGTTTGACTCATTTGTTTGCTTGTTTAAGTTTCACGCGGTTTTGAACACGGTTATCTAACTTTAGTTATAGTTGTGGGTATTTTTAGGTTTTTCTTGATTGCTTGCGTATGACACGTGGTAGAAATGTGGGGAAAGGTTTTTATTGTAGGGGAATAAATTGTTTATTTTATGGTTTTTAAATAATTAGTGAGTTGGGATTTGTTTAAAAGTTATTGAGTTTTAAAGTTTGGTTTTGGATTAATTTTTGTTTAAAAATGAAATGTGATTTTTTTTACTTTTTTGATTATAACTTTTTAACTAGTAATTATTAATTAATTATTTAAAGTGGAGATTGTTCATAATTAAATTATCTTTAATATAGTTTTTGTTTGGTTGAATTATAAAATGTGGTTTGTTAGTTATTTGGCTTCCAAGTTGAGTTTTCAATTTATTTTAGTCACAAAAGTAAAATTATTATTTTTTTACTTTTTTGAGTGTATCTTTTAAACTAATAATTATAAAAATTTTGTTTAAAAACATTAATATAACTGATTAAATTCTCTATAAGATGCTTTTTATTTCATGTAATTACAAATTGCAGTTTTTGACTTACGAAGCATTAAAATTCCATTTTAATTTTATTATATTTCTACCAACACGATTTACTTGCTAATTTTTGTTATAACTTAATAACTAGCATTGATAACAACAAAATTCAAACTCTACTATATAAACAATTAAATTCCCAACACATCTACTTTTATGTAGCATAAATATAATTATTAGTTTAAAAGTTATTCGTCTATAAAGTTAAATAAAGTTTCATCTTTGATAAAACTTAGATTTTTTTATTTTTATCAATTTCCAGATGAATATACGCGAATTACTACTCCTCGACAAGACGTACTATTCAAGAAGGGTTACCTGAGCAAGCCGAAAGCCTACCAAACGCAAACATCGACCGGCGCCTCCACCATTTCCACAGGCAACTCCACCGGCAACGGCACGCCGGATCACCAGTCAGCAGGTACGCCAATAACAACCATAACATAACCTAACTTATAAGTCTAAGTTACACCCAATTAAATTCTCTACATTTTCATCTTTAAATCATCACTCTAACATTAAAACTAAAAAGTTATCGCATAAAATGTAACGGATTTAATTTTTATTATTTTTAAATTTTCAGATGGAACGGAAGGCACCGACTTGGAATACGAGTCGCAGTTTGTCTTCCCCAATGGCTTCGTCGATCAAAACGGAATCTACTATGTCAACAGTAAGTCATAACCTCAAATATTATTCTCCCAATACTAAATACTGACAATATATTGACAGGTTTTGAACCTTATCCTCTGGTTGTCTACAATCCACCAATGTGTTATCCGGAATACGTGTCATCAACACGATCCAAACGCCTAAGCACAGGATCACTCGTAAGTAACCTTAACATAACCTCAAAAAAACAAAACAAAAAAAATCAAACGAGAGAAGTGAAACCTTCAGAATACTACACTACGAGAGAATAAGACGAAATAGTATCAGGAGTGATATAATCATAGGGTTTATTTATTATAATATTGGAATCAAGTGTAAAATTATTTAATACTAGCTTTAACCCTTGGCTTCGTTCGCGAATATCTAAAATAATGAAGTTGCTTCCGTACGCGTCTGTAGTCACAGAAGAAGTAACAATGAAGTAGAATGGCGGGAAGTTTAAAATGGCTGAAAGTATAGTCTATGGAAGTATAGTGTACAGTCTCCATAGTGTAGTCAATTGGATTTGATGTTGACGTAGCTGTTGGTAATACAGTGTGATAATACAGTGTGATGGTACTATAGTACTTAGGTTTGAGCTTCATTGCTGGAATGCTAGATGGCGTTAAAGTAGTCAAAGAGCCAGATGCAGAGGTATTATTGGCTAAACTATTTCTTTATTTTATTTTAAAAATAATTTTTTTTATTAAATAAAAAGTAGCCTATAACCATTCGGGGACCACTAAGAATATGTGTACAAATTTTCATGATGATCGATTAAGTAGTTTTTGCGTGAAAGTGTAACAAACATCAGGACTCTCGCATTTATAATATTAGTAGGGATTCAGAAAATATTCCGAATCAAGTGGCTTGTGGCAAGCTACGAAGCATCGCACAAAGAGGAAACGAAGAAAATAGGAAACACTCTGTATATTTGTGTTCTCTTATTCTCTCGTAGGCTTAACCATATAAATGTATACGTTTGTCTCTTTTTAGTGTCGTTTTATTCATTTTTTTAAAGAAGTTTTCACTAAAAAATTTCAAAAAATAAAATTTTATGAAAATATTTGCAGACTGAATCAACTTCTCCTCACAATGAGGAAACCAGCCAGGAGCTAAGCCACTCTGGCGGTGAGACTGTCAACTATCCAGAGTTTGGGCCTGGAAACGTGTATAATTTGGTCTTTCCTGGATATTACGGCTATGGCGTCCCACCAGGTATGAGTTATTCAGTTATTGAGTTATGAGGAAGAGTTATATGGGTGTGCAGTGTGTGAGAGTGTTGTTTGCTTTGGCGATACACGGCGTATTTGTTGGCGGTAAATATAGCATGGCGCGCAAAATCAAACGCAAAGAGTAATGACATTTTGCGCGCACCGCTGGCACGCTGACAAGGCGAGCGCGAACTACGGCTTGCGGCAATTAAAAACAGAAATCTTTGATTTCAAGATGTCAGCGGATATTTTTAGATATTTGCCTGTGTCTAGCTATAAGCCAGTGTATTAATGTATCACGTGATTGGGAATTTAATTATGGATTATTTGGTGGTTAAATTAGTGATTTGTTGTTGATAGTTTAAAAGTTATTAATAATTTAAGTTGGGGTTTTGTGAAATTTTTAGGATTTTTATGTTTTTTTGAACGATTTTTTGCGTTTTTTGTTATTTTAGATGGTTTTTAACTAAGTGTTGTTATTTAAGGTGATAGTTGGTTAATTTAGGAACAATTTGGCGTTTGTTTCATTTGTTTATCACTTTTAGATGCTAGTTATTGTTGTTTAAAGTTGGTACAACAAAAGTGCGTAAAATACCAAACCTAACCTTTATTTGAGTTTAGGCGTTGCAGGAAAACTAATTGTAGGATATTATAGTATAAATTGATAGGAAATTTCATTGTGGTTAATTTGATATTATTATCAATAATATAGCATTAATGGTTTAAAAGTTATTAACAATTTAAGTTCAAATTTTATCAAAATTTTATTGGTTTTCTAGTTTTTCTTCACAATTTTTTAGATTTTTAATGATTATTGATAATTTAAAACAAAATGTTATTATTTTGGATGATAGTTGATTAGTTTAGCAACATTTTGGCGCTTGTTTCATTTGTTTATCATTTATAGTTTACGAGTTACGGCAATTTGAAGTTGGCACAAAAAAAGTGTATAAAATACATAACCCTATTTCTGTTTACGATTACCAACATATAAATTATTGTATATTATCAAATATGGTATCAGTTGATAGAGAATTTAATTACGCTTAATTTGATACTAATATCAACAATATACCACCACTACTTCAAAAGTTATAAACAAATTAGTCAAAAAATTCACCCAAAATTTCCAAATTTTAAACTTTTTTCAAACAATTTTCTCATTTTTAATAATAATAGAAGGCTTAAAACAAAACTCCAATATCCACGGTAACACTCACTTAATTTAACAACAATTTGACTTTTGTTCCACTTGTTTATCACTAATACTTTCCAAGTAATTATTAATTTAAGTTCCAAAAACATAAAAACATACCTAACCTATATCTCTATTTCCTGTGTTACAGAAATGGAAATATCTCATGGTGAACCCCGCAAGATCAAGAAGCGCCGCCGCCGAAAACTATCCAAACCAGTCGAGGACAACTGGACCACCTCCTCCTCAGACGATTACGACGAGTCCGAGGAGATGGTCAGCGAGATTGAGAATCGGATTATTCAGGGTACCCACAGGCACAGACCAGTTACAGCTGACTCACCAGCAAGCAACACCACCAACAGTGAAGAAACACATAATACACAAACAACAACAGAATTAGAACCAAAAGAAGAAAAAGAAGCAAAAGAAAAAGAAGAAAAAGAAGAAAGCAAAGGAGAAGTTAAAGAAATTGAGGTTATGTTGGATGTAGAGGCAATTGAGGTTAAGAATAACGGAGGTATACCAGAAGTAGTTGAAGGTACACCTGAAGAACCAGAATCAACCAATGGTACACCTGTTACCAATGTGAATGTTAATGTGAAGAAAGTACTTAAAGCAGACGCCAAAGAATTCATCCCACGGTTCTTCCATCAACCTCATCAACCACACCATCAGGCACACCATCAACATCGCCATCCACAGCCACAGTTTATAACCAATTTGATACCACTGCCGCCTTCATTCCTACCAGCACCTCATATGCATATTCTACCCCCACCACCTCCACAACAACCACCATTATCATCATCAACTACAACCAAAGTGGTACCATCAAGTCAAGATATAGATATACCAGAAGAAACAAACAAAGAAGTAACTACTTCTGTGATACCTTCAACATCACAACCACAAAAACCACAAAAAACCGGAAATGATAATAATAATGCAATTGTGGTACCTTCCCCCACTCCCGAAGTGGTATTACCTTCAACATCACTGGTCAACGAAGTCAAGGTACTTAACAAACCCATTGACATAGCCAAAATTGTTTCCAAGTTAGAAGAAGCAGCCAAGGAGCAAAGACGCAGTGGTACCACCACCAATGGTACCTCCCGAATGGGCACACCTAGATCCCGACGTAATTACCAACGTACCAATACCTCTAAACCCACACAACCCACACAACCCACACAAAGTGAGGTTAAATCAACGAAAGATAATTTTACATCAACTCCTGCATCAAATGTATCTTCTGGTAAGAATTACGCACAGATGTTATCGAAGAAATCAGCTGGTACCAGCCCAATGAAGAAATATGCTTCTCCTGCTAAAGATAACAATAATATAAGCACTGTGGCGACATCTAGTCAGACTCCTTGCATAACTACATCTTCTCACAAACACACCTCTAAAGTGATGGTACCTGCAACAAATCAAAGTCAAAGTCAATGGATTTCAGTTCAATCACGTAAAAAACGGAAGAATAACAAACAATGTGATTGGGACGATGAAGAAGACTTAAATATTAATAATACTAATAATAAAACTGATTTTGAGGTTAAGGGAGTGTCAAATATTGATGGTGATGGTTTTGAAGCTTATGACGTGTCGAAACTGGAAGATGTCGTTGTGGTACGTCCCGAAACGGACAATAATACATCCGTACCTGATGTTGTTGAAGATATTGTTGAAACTATTGCAGTTATTGAAGAAACACCTAAACAAATTGATCAATTAGATCACAAAGCCGCTGAGGAGGAAGAGTTTGATAAACTCATACGTACCTTAGAAGAATTGGAAGCGAAAACTCCACAGAAGAAGAAACCGGTTGTTAATAAGCGTGTGATGATCACAGATGTCGGTGTAGAGGAAGTCTTGCCTTTAACTATCACCGAAATCAAAGATGATGAGGATACAAAGCCTAATATTAAGAAAACAAAGAAATCTAAATCTAAAACAACACAAAAGGTTGACATATCAAAAGAAAATGAAGTTGTAGAAGTTATTTCAGAGGTTAAACATGAAAAAATGCATGAAACGTTGAATGACTGTATGCAACCAGTTATACAGCTGAATGTCACACAGGATGAGTCGCCGGATAAGAATAAAAAGAAGAAAAAGAAGAAAACACCAAAGAAACCAACTCTAACCTTAGATTCAACATTAACACCACCAATTTCAATGCCGAATACACCTTCAACCTCTGCTTCTGTTGTAGATGAATCATCTTATAACTTTTTACTCACCGATTCCCTATTGGAAGAAGAACGAACTAATCTTGAAGTATCTGAAGAGCTGGATAAAATCATCCAACGTGGTATGTTCACATCCCTCGAAGAAAAGATCAAATCATTGAATATCACAGCGATGAATGATGGCTTCTTTAAATCCATGACGTCATTTGTTGATAATACAACCAAAACAGGCAAGGAAGATGATTTGACTACGATTTTGACTAAGACGACGAATATTTTCAAGGCTAAACGACCGGGGAATGGCGCTGAGGTACCCGCAACCACCGGTTCTTTTTTAGACCTTGCCAGCCTCCACGAGGACCCTGGGATTAGCACCCACGGAGGCCGGAAGGACGAGTATCCCATCACCAAGGCGGTGAAGGACTGGATGGTGCGCACCAGGGAGACTACGCCCGAGATTGAACTGCTCAAGAGTCCACGGACCATATTGAAAGAAATAAGTGAGGTTATAACCACTTCCAATGCGAATATAAAAGAATCATGGAGTTTAACGCCGGAATCTAGCTTTGAGGATGAAGATTTGCTTGAGTGCTGGGATGATTTAGAGGTTACAACTGATATAACCTCAAATAATCATATTGAGGTTATGGGGGACGCCACAACAGAGAAACAGAAACAAATTGAGGCATCACTGGAGGTTTACGAGAGTATGTATGGAAAGAATGAAGATTTTAAGCTTATAAAAGCGGAAATTGAGGAGAGGAAGCGTAATGGTACACTACCCAAACATGGCGGACTTCCCTACCGCGCTGTATGTTGCAGTGTGATGTAATGTTGGTTTTTTACGTTGAGAAAAACCAAAAATAACCTACAAAGTTCAAACGTACATATTGTTAGTTGTTGACAACACGACACACTCATATACACTTACATGAATTGTTGGTTATGTTACTTAAGAAGCATATTTTTAGTGTGAAAAGACATGAAAACACGACGAAGATGATGATGGACTGAACTAGCGCATAAGTTGTTGGAGTTGTTGAGGTTATGCACAGGCACAGCTTATTGTTGATGATGATTGACGTTTAAAATAAAGCGAAAACAAGCAAAGTTAGGTTAGGTTAGGTTTTAGTTTTTAGTTGTGTTTATTGTTTTGATAGCGGTTAAGTTTTAGATTCAACGATGCCATCCGTGGAATGATTTGTGAGGTTATGCACGTTGAAGCCTAATTCATTAGATTAATTACACGTAAAGCAATTTTAGATGATGCATCATGACGCAATAATGTTAATTAATTAATTAGGAAATTATTTTGTAGTTGTTCAAAACCGTGATAGTGAATTGAATTGAAAAATTTAAGAAAATGAAATGAAATGACGCGCTTGTGTTGTTGCGTGTTAGGTGGGTAGCCTACGGTTGTTCGTTCCTTTTCGTTGCGTTTGTTTGTTAGATTTGATGATATTACTTAGTGCGCATGCGCAGTTGACGCCGTTTGATTTTTTGTTTTCTGTTTTACACTCAACTCGATTATAATATTATGTAATATGTAGTTGTAGAGTGCTCATTTCGTCATCGAGGACGCCATTACGAAACGCGACGCCATCTTGTCGTCGATGTCATCTTTCACTCACACTGACTCACATTAAACACATCGTTGATAAAACTATAAAAGTAAGAACTTTTTGAAATTAAACCAATGTTGATGTATAAATATCGTTGTGAAATGGCAAGTTTATGATTATTGGTATGATTTGACTGCGTTTTCGGTTGTTTTGATGAGAAACAATGTAATTATGTAATAACAATATCCGCGTTTGTTCATTTTGAGATTTGTGCCTTTGCAATTTGTAAAAAATAAATACATTTCAACAATGTTTTTGTTTTCGGCGTTGCGTGGCGGCCATTTTGTTATGTGAGGGAATTTGAACTGTCAGTCAGTCCGAACTAAATTCTTCGTACATTTCATGTGCATTCATCATTTTTGGAAGCGAAATTTAACAAAATGTCGCCGATTATGTCGTGGATTAACTTGATTTTCTTCTCCAGCGCCATTACGTTGGTGGTTTTAGGTTTTTATCAATTACTAAACTGCAAAATTGGTTTCAGTAGTATTCTGTGTATGATTAAAGCCAAAATAAGAGTAAGTAACCTGTACATAACCTAATTTAACCTATTTTTATCAAAAAAACGTTTTTTATGAGTTTTTATGATAAAATTTTGTGTTTTTAGCAATACAGATTAAGGAAATGCAAGTATGAGATACCCTCCTACCCGGAAAACGATGATTACATTGAAGGAAGCGACGGAAGTGACTGTGAAGCGCCACCTTACGATAAAAACAGAATTGTTAAATATTACGAACATGCTCTCAAGCAATACAATCATCTAAATGATTGTGATAGACTTAGAAGACGATAAACACTCTAATGATGTTAATATTACTAAAATTAATTTACATATTGTCACATTATCAACCAATGTGTATATTGAAGTAATTTTAACCTCAAATAAATTTCTATTCACATGATGATCATTAACGTTTAAAAGTGTTAAAATCATGTTTAAAGCTTTAAAGTAAGTAAAAAAAGCATGATATCTATTAAATTTTATACTTTTAATGTTTATTTTATACTGAAACTATGTTTTACACTAATAACAACTGATTTCGACAGAGTTTTCATTGTGGTCGATAATGTCGAAGTGTTTTATCCATTAAAACATCAACAAAATGATCTATCGGATGGATTATGAGTGGAATCACAGCTAGGCCTATACCTGCAACTATCATGTTACGTGGTGCTTTGTTTATTTTACTCATTGCTTTGTTTTTTTTCATGAACCACATCGAACCAGCACAGATGCGATTGATGGTGTAGCCTGGTATTGCCACAGATGCCAACATTTGCCAGATGAGTGTATCTGCTGCTGTGAATGATGTCTGGATGGTGCGATTAGGTGCGTTGGATTTTTCCTGTAATTTATTTTATATTAATTTATTATTTGTTTGTTTTATTCTGTGGACAGTGTGTATATTTTGAATGTGTGGTGTGTGTTGGGTTGCATATAGTGAATGCATGAGTGAGCATAAAATTGACGCGTGAGGAGCAGAGTAGTAACCTTGGTGTTGGAGTGCGCGTCGTTTGAATTTCATCTTTATTTCAATCCAGTTTGATGGGTGTTATCTGCTTACCTGGTGAGTTTTTATTGTTTTATCTGTTGTATCAGCGCATACGTATAAAACTGCGACGCCGTATGAGGCTAGGACTAATTTACTGCCGATTATCGCACGAAATGCTTCGCCGACTTCGTTCGCATAACCTAAAAATGTGATAATCGTTTGTTTTATTTCATATTTGGTATTAATAGTAACAATAGTAGTGTTACACGTTGTTTGTTTGTTATGTAATCATAACAAGCAAAGGTTATGCGTTTGTTATCGGGTATGTGCTGATTACTCACCGAGATATCGCACTGGCGTATCGCGGTATAAATCTTTGGGCACAATGTCTTTGGAATCCATCGCGTGATGAGAGTTAGTGGAATGAATACGTTAGAAATGTATCACAGCATTTATTTGTAGTGTATTTGGTGTTTTGGCTGAATTTCAAGATGACATTTGGGCTTTTATCATGAACTTGAACACATTGAAAGTGTTAGTTGCGGTGTGGTGTGCTAGAAGTTGCATAACACACGCAACGTAATCAATATTTTAGGTAAATCGTTATATTTTCGTGTTTTAACTGTTTTTTTATGCAGAAAATAGTAGATAATTAAATTTTTATTAATTATAATGTTGATAAAAGTTTAGGGTGAGTGATTAAATAGGAATTATTTAAATTTAAAGTTAAGTTGGAAATAATTGGTCGTGAAAAACACGGTTTACTAAACTCTCTGTAGTTTTTTAAGTAATTATTCGATTTTAATTGTTTTTTCGTTATCTAAAGTACATTAAATTTACTAGAAGTCTCTGGTATTATAATTTTTGTATTTAAAGTGGAAGTGCTTCAAATCTTAGGTTAAACTTTGGGATCAAAAATGAAAAACAAATTTAACAAAACTCTCTGTATCTTTTAACAAATTAAGTTATTACAAATATTCTTCCTGATAATGACAGATTATTAGTTACTTTATCGTGTTATCATTGTTAGATAATAATATTCTTCTTCGAAATGTCTCAAAATTGAGGTTAAACATTAACAAAAATTTACAAATATCAAAAAACAAATTTTTTAAAACGCCCTGTAACTTTTAGACTAATTAAGTTATTTCAAATATTTTTACTGATAATGATAGATTATTAGTTACTTTATCATATTATTTTTGTTTGATAATAATATTCTGCTTAGAAACGCCTCAAAATTGAGGTTAAACTTTACCAAAAATTTAAAAATATCAAAAACATATTTTACAAAACGCTTTGTATCTTTTAAACAAATTAAGTTATTCCAAATATTTTTACTGATAATGATAGACTCTTAGTTACTTTATCGTGTTATCATTGTTAGATAATAATATTCTTCTTAGAAATGCCTCAAAATTAGGGTTAAACTTTACCAAAAATTTAGAAATTTCAAAAACAAGTTTTACTAAACTCTCTGTATCTTTTAAACAAATTTCGTTTTTCCAAATATTTTTACTGATAATGATAGATTATTAGTTACTTTATCATATTATCATTGTTTGCTAATTATATTCTTTTTAGAAATGCCTCAAAATTGAGGTTAAACTTTACCAAAAATTTCAAACTTTAAAAAACAAGTTTTACTAAACTCTCTGTATCTTTTAAACAAATTAAGCAATCATCAATATTCTTTCATCAATTAAAAGATTATTAATTATACTATCTCACAGTTTTTATTTCATAACCCCTACTAACCTGGAAGTCACTTAAAATTAACCTCAAACTCAACCAAAAAATCAAAATTTTTATAATCATATTCATTTATTCATCAATTCATATATGTATAAAATATGCAAGCATAAGTACGTATGATAGTAAAAATAACCACGTCGCCTGGGCTTACGCGCCGTGTGATAATATGTGATGGATATGTGGATGTGTGTTGCGTGTAGACGAATGAATGTGTGTTCAATACATACTTGCTAACTTCTTAAATACAACATTAATAAAATTCTATCCGTACGTCTTACATCGTATTTTGTATAAAGCTCTTGTATAAGATTTACTTAATTATATCACCGTTTTTTTCTTTGTTCGTATTAACATTAAGTACGTTTACATATGTTACTTATTTAGGGGCTATATGTGTTCGTTCGAAGAGGCGGAACAAATGAATTATAGCTTATAGTAAAACACGAGTGTTTAGGTTATAATTAGAACAGAGATTAAACGTAAACAATAATATATAAAATGTGACTGTACAAGTGTCGCCGCCTGTGTGAGAGGGGGCGAGCGTCGAATGGTTGTTGATGTGTGGGCGTGGGCGTGTGATCTGGCGGGGGTGTTTAGTAGCCGCCGCTTGATGGGGCGCCGTATTCGCTGCTTGGGGGCGCTGCTGGCGCGCCGTATTGGCTTTCGGGGACGCCGGATGCTTGGTAACCACCTTCTTGTTTCTGGGGAAGAAAATTGGAAATATTTTAAGGTTAGGTTATGTTTTTTTAGAAATATCCAAAATGGTTGAATAGATAATTTAATTGGGTTTAATTTGAGGGGTTGGTTGGGGTTCTAACCTTAAAATTATAAGAGTTATGGGTGAAAATGTAAAGAAAAACAAAAATAATTGAAAATTGGTGAAAATAGTTAAAATTTTTCTTTGGTAGAAGATTTTGATAGTTTTATAAAATATTTAAAAAAAATGTAGGTTAGGGTTTGATAGATAATTTAATTAGGTTTAATTTGAGGTGTTGGTTAGGGTTCTAACCTTAAAATTATAAGAGTTATAGGTTAAAATGTCAAGAACAACGTGGTTGAATAATTGGGTTGAAAATAGTGCAGATTTTACTTTGATTTAAAATTTCTCTAATTTGTCAAACTATTTCTTAAAATTTTCTTTAGGATATTGATAGATAATTTAATTGGCTGTCAAATGAAGGGTTGTTTATCAGTTTATCTTGAAAATTGCAGAAAATAGAGGTAAAAAAATGATGAATTTCAAATTTTAGCAAAATTTAGGAAAAAAATTAAATTTGACTTTTATGGATGATATTGATTGTTTTTTAAACAATTTTGTTAACTATTTATATGGATACACAGAGGAGTAAAACAAGGATGTGTCATATCCCCATTACTATTTAACATCGCCTTAGACTACATACTAGCAAAGGTAGACCAGAACAGGGATGGGTTGCGCTGGACACTAACCTCGCACCTCAGCGACCTGGATTACGCCGACGACATCTGCCTGATGTCACATACGTTCGAAGGCGTGAGCCGACAGCTAACAACATTAGCAAGGGAGGCAAGTAAAATTGGCCTAAGAATAAATATTGCCAAAACAAAAGAAATGCGTATAAATACAAACAACACCTTAAAACTCCAAATAGATAATACGGAAATAGAAGAGGTCAAGGAATTCCTATATCTAGGAAGTATAATTGACATAAAAGGGGGGACCGACGCAGATATAAACAACAGAATAAAGAAAGCCCAGCAATCCTTCAGAATGCTGAGCACAGTATGGAAGTCAAGCGTCTATACACTAAGAACAAAACTGCGCATATTCCGCACAAATGTAAAATCCACCCTTTATATGGATGCGAAACATGGAGGTCAACGAGCTCAAGCACACACAAACTCCAAACCTTCATAAACAAGTGCTTGAGAATGATCTTGCGCATATTCTGGCCAATGACAATCTCCAACGATGAGTTGCACCGTCGATGTGATGAAACTCCCATTATAAATCAAATACGCAAGAGAAAATGGGGGTGGATTGGGCACATCTTGAGAAGAGACGCCGGAGATATCGCCAGAAATGCGCTAGAATGGAACCCACAGGGGAAGAGAAGGGTTGGTAGACCGGCCAATACCTGGCGAAGATCCACAATAGAGGAGCTCCGAAACCAAAATATGGGCTGGAACGAAGCAAAGGCGGTTGCCCGAAACAGAGTCCGTTGGAGGGCGCTTAGTGAGGCTCTATGCTCCACATAGGAGCCAAGAACATTATATATATATATATATATATTTATATGGATATTGATAGATAATTTAAGTAGTTATCAGAAAATGTGCTTATCAATATTCTACCCCTAAAATTATAACTATTATGTCCCAAAAACTAACAAAAATCATAGTATTTTCTTATCTCTTTTTAAATTTTTTTAAATTTTGACTTTGAATCAATTTTAAGGGATGTTTCAAACAAAAACATAAAATTTTTATTATTTAAGAATTAAGATAATTTAGTTAGCTTTGATTTAAGTCTTTGATCAATTTTCTACCCTTAATAGTTTGGATTTTATTACTAAAAAAGCAAAATATTGTTTCTGTGACTTACCTGAGTCTTGTAACGAATGAAGTAAACTTCCGGTTTGCTCGGCTGCGTTGGCGCTGGTGTAGGAATGTTAATCTCTGGCGCTTCCTCCGGTTTCTTCACCAAAACGTAGACCAAAGTCTTCTCTTCGTTCTGTGGCTGCAGAGGGATGACTGGCGCGGTTGGCGCTGGTGGTGCTGGGGCCTAAATAAACAAATAAATTAAATAATCGTAAATTTTTGTTTTAAAAAGAAAACGGGAATAATTTCGGTGTTTACCTTGATGAAGATAATTTTATAGTGTTTCTGAGGGGCGGCTACTTGAATTGGTTTGCGTGGTGCGTGGTACTCTTGCTCTGGGGGCGGCACGTGAACGTAGACGTGTTTGTGCACGGTGGGTTGTTGTGGTGGCGCGCCGTATTGCGGCTGCGGGCCGCCGTAACTACCGCTGGGTGGGGCGTAACTGTTGCTTGGTGCACTCGGTGCATTGTAGCTGTAACCACTGCCGCCGCCGCCACCGCTGATTGGGGGTTCGGGCCTTCCGCAGGCCACTGCCAATAATGCGGACATAACCTGGGAATAAAAATAGGGTAAAATTTTAGTTTGAGTTTGAATTTTTTGAGGTTATTGATAATATTTTGGTAGTTTTGATAGTAGATGAGATGGACAATTTTAACAGCTATTCAATGGAGTTTTAACAGCTTTTCTATCTGTAAAATTGTAGTCGTTACAGATCAAAAACTAAAGAGAAATTGTGGCAGAATTGGCGAAAAAGTGAAATTTTGACTTTGACCGCGATTTTTTTGGTAATATCTGTTATTTTATGATAATATATTGATATCTAGTGATAGATAATTTAATCAGCTATTCAATAAGTGGTAAAAAACAATATTATTATCTTTAGTAATGTTTTTATTACAATTTTTAGAAGAAATTGTATGCCGAAAAATAAAAAATTTCAAAAAAATGTAAAACTTTAACTTTGAACGAAATTTATTCACTTTTCTCCAATATTTTTTTGGAATATTAACATTGCTACGGATAAACAAGTTAAACAGCTATTAGATAATATGTTGTTCTCATTTCTACCTCTAAAATTACACTTACAAAATCCGAAAAACTGAAAAAAGAATTTTTACAAATTTTTGATTTATTTTCCAAAAATTGCTTTATCAGGGGTAATTTTAGGGGTAGAAATGTTATAAGTATGTTTTCTGATAGCTGTTTAAATTACTTATCAGTACCAATGTTAATATCTCCAAAAAATATTTGATAAAAGTGCATAAATTTTACTTAAAGTTAAAATTATTACGTTTTTTATAAAAAATTTCACTTAGAAAGCAATTTTTATCCGTTAATAAAATGATTTTCGAAAATATTAATAATAATTTTATACATTAACTATCTAATAATATAATAATCCTCTTATAAAACCAAATCTTCCAACTTTTACAGCCTACAACCATAAATAAAAAAAATAATAAAAAAAAAACTTATAAATAATAAATCACAAAGCATTAAAACCATCAGTTGATTATTATTACTATTAAAACGTAAATGAATGATGAATGAGTCATGAAAGTAATTGAAAGCCTCGCGCACCGCGATGAAAACAAAAGGAAGCGCTAACTTAATGCTTCTGTCGCGCGCGCGCACCAACATGGCAACCGGAAGTCACTTTACTTTACTACACTTTACTTCTACACCACTAACAAAGCGCTCGGCGCGCAGAACTAAAATTCATTAATCGAAATACCGCGCACGCGAAGGAGTATTTTATATTCTTCTATTTTCTCTTTTGCGCATAGAAAATCCGCGCGCCATGCGATTGCGTCAAGCACAGCCGACTTCCGCTTCGCCTTTGTTCGCAACCGCGCATATTATGTCAGAAATTGAAGTTAAAAAATAACAGAAGAAAGGAAGATGGCTAGAAGGAAGATAAACGCACGACTGCCCGACATTTAAATTATAAATTCAAAAAAACAAAAATTATTTCTATTATTACGTAAGCATAATGATTAAATGGATATTTTGCATAATTTCCGGCCGGGATCGAGCCGCGAATCAAGTCATCAAAAAGGTATAATTAAGTTATGATTGCAAATGTCAAATTGTGTAAGTCAGATTCGCATGCGAGGAAGTTGAGTAACTTAACTCAACTTAAGACAACTCACATCGATTTATTTGATTGATTACTTTTTTCGTCTCATTTCTAGGTTAAGTAACATGACTTAAGTTGTTTTTGGTGTTTACGCTGGGCCGTGACCTATTAAATTACATTTGGAGTGTAAGAAAAGTGAAATTGCAATAACGAGTCGATTAAATAATCGAAAGCAGGTGGAGAGAAAAAAATATGAGTGGAATTGAGTTTGGGCCCCGAATTTCGTCTGTACTTGTCTGTACAGGCAGTGTGTAATTAGTTGCGTAACTAATTGTAGAACTGTAGCGGAGAGATGCGAGTTTATTTCAGTTTATGACGGTGGGTTGATTTGAGTTGAGTAAGTTGAGATGTGAGATAATAACGATGGAAAGATGGAATCGTTGAAAAAAGTGAAAGACAAATGGAGTAATGAGCGTGTATGTGAATTGTTCCACTTTTCACTTTTCATAGCGTGTTATTTGTCGGGGTTTTTTGATGGGATTTGCTTGGAAATAATGTTTTTTTCGAAAAATTCCTTTTTTTGCGTTTTTTGGGAGATAATTTGTTGTTGTGGTTGTAATTTTGGTGTTAGATTATTTATAAAAGGTGTTTTAGATAGTTGATTAAATTATCTATCGGCTGATGTAGTGATTTTGTTGTTAATTGTTGTTAAAACGGTAGTAATTTGGTTATAATGTTAGAAATTTTAAGTTTTTGAGAAAAAAAAAACTTATTTTTTTTTTGTTAGTAAAACGGCCATTGAGGGTGTAATTTTGAATTATTTGGTAGATAATTATTGTATCTAACAATATCTTTAAGATTATAGCCGAAAAATTTATCGTAACGCGTTTAAAATTGATTTTGAAGAAAAAAAGTAGAATTTTTGCAAATTTTTGAATTATTTTACAAAAATAGCTTTATCAGGGGTAATTTTAGGGGTAGAAATGGTAAAAGTATATATTCCGATAGCTGTTTAACTTATTTATCGGTAGCAATGTTAATATTTACAAAAAATATTTGATAAAAATGCGTAATTTTCATTGAAAGTTAAAATTTTACGTTTCTTGTGCAAAATTTTTATTTTTCTGTAAACAATTTCTTCTAAAAGTTGTAATAAAGTCATTACTAAAGCTAATATTATTGTTATCAACTACTTTTTACATAGCTATTTAAATTATCTATCTTTAGATGTATTATTATTATCAAATAAATATTAAGGACACGTCGAAATTCTCAATTGAAACCAAAAATTAAAAAAAAATTTTTATTAAAATTTGTTTTCTTTCACTTAAATTATTATGACAGCTATACTTTTAGTACTAAAAATATTTTTAATATGTCTATAGATACCTAATCAAATTATTTATCTGTTACCATACAAATATAATAAAAAATTTCTTGATAACAGGATTTATAGTTCTTCCAAAATTACAAAATTTTAAAAAATAACTAAAAAGAATTCAATTTTTCTTTTATTAAATTCATATTGCAATTATTGCAATTATTTCTAAACAATTACACGCATATAAACATTTAACCATTCAAAACTTAATTATTTATTTATCCAATTACGAATTATTAACCATGATTACAGTTTTCATAATAACCACGTTGATGAAACCGAACCGAAACGAAACACACCGAGTGTATATGTTCATCTTGAGTAATCCGAATGCATCTTATTTAATTGCATGTTGTCTACGCGTACAATAATTATATTACTCAACCGGCCGAAGAGAATATTCGCAAAATAGCGAATGAATGTGTGCAATATTGCACATAATGCAATTTTATTCGCAGGAAAACAATTCGAAACGCTTTCGAATGTTTTAACAAACTACATTAATCAAACACCAACACAATAATTATAAATAATTAATATTTATATTTACTCACCACGAAAGCTCTCATTGTGAGAATATCTGTGTCCTTGCGCGTTGGGATGAGTTTTGTCCTGTCGAACACAAAATTTTATTTTATTTAATTAAACACTTTTTATTTTATTTTTTATGATTTAATTTTTTTTTCTTTGGTCTTTGGTTGAAGACGTTGCGCTGAGCTTACTTAAGTTTCACTTGTTCGAGTGTGCGAGCTCGTCGTCGAGTGCGCGTAATTCGGCGCGGCGCGCACTACTTATACCCCCAGTACACCCGAAATCCCAGACTTACTTTTGGTTTCACTACTACTCTTCTTCGGCGTCTTCTTTTACTTCTTTGCGGTGGTTACCGTCACCAAACGCGTCTTCGGGCATCTTCCAAACTCTACATTCCTTTTTGACTTCAATTCAATTCACTAGTTGAGTCAAAATATACTAAGTAGACTTAGGAGTAAGTGTAGTATGAGCAAAGTGTTGAAAAATGTATTTTATATGTTTTTTTTATGTTTATATACGTGGTATTAAGTTTGGTTTATTGGAAATATTTTATTCTACGTGTTTAAAATTAGTATTTTACGCATTTTTAAAATTATTTTGGGAATTTATGCGAAAATTTGGAAAAATAACAATTTTTGAGGTTATTTTAAGCTGTTGTGTTAGTATGTGTTGGGGTATATTTTATACACTAGTGTGTTTAGTAGTATTTTGTATATTAAGGGTATAAAAAGGACACTGGAATATTTTTAGCGATAATTATGTATATTTTGTTCTTTTTTAAACATTTTTGAGAGTTTATTGTACTAAATTTAAGTATTTATGCAGAAATTTGCAAAAATACTACTTTTTGCGATTATTTTCAGTGTTTAAAGTGATTATTCAATATACTAGTACGCAAAATCATTGCTTGAAGGTGTTGGTAACGAGAAGAATTGAATATTAATTATTCTTGGTAATTTTTGTTTGTATTTGCTAAACAAGCTCCGCGTTTAAGCTTAACTAATTACAAAATGTACTTAGAACTAAAATCAACTACTTAAACGTTCTTAAGTCAATAAAAAGTGCCTAAATTTAAATGATTTTTAAAATTTTATGTTTTACACACTAGTGTGAAAGGTAGTATGATGTATAATACGTATAAAGAGTAGAGGATTTAATGTAGAATTAAGTAATGTTGAAATTATAACTTTATCTCTGACAGTTTTCGCATAAACTATGAAAACAATACAAATTTAATTATTAAACGTGTCTTGACGACGTAATTTAAGCATAAATTTGATTAATATATTATAGAAATGTTTATAAGCGACATTTATTATAATTGACAATTATTGAATGTACTTAAAACATCATTGAATTGACTTAAAGTTGATTTAAGTCATTAAAGGACTTTATTTTTTTTTAAATTTTTCTCAATTTTTCATTTTACGCACTAGTGTGCAAAGTAATATAATTTATGATACGTTTAATAAATAGAGGATTCAATGCAGAAGAATTAATGAAAAAAATATATCTTTATCTCTGATAGTTTTTGTATAATTAATGAAAACAATACAAATTCATTTATTTCGCGCATTTTTTACGTAGGTAATACAAACATACCTTAAAATGTAAATATCATGAGCAACAACTACTTAAGTGACGTTTATCTGGTGATTTATGTCTTTTTTATAACTTATTTCTTTCTCACTTGAAAAATTAAAAAAAAAAAAACTCGAAAGTTACTCGTGCAATCCATGATGATCCACGCCAGAGAAAAGTGAAAATCATACAATCAGAGGATGTTAGATGTATCCAAGCAATTAATTTTTTAATCACATCGCCGAAAACATCATATTTACATCTGTTAGTTGTGGATCTTTATGAATACCTATGTGTTGAATGCGTACAAGTAATATTTACGTAAGCAGTAATTAAATACCGAAAATCGTTTGCGTTCGCCTTTGCGGATGAATGTGTAACGCAATCGTTGCAATAATCAGTCATCTATCAATAGTAATTCGTATAGAAAAAAAGTGTAAATGTATATTGGATAATTTATACCTACTTATATAGAAATATTATTTATGACTTAACTTAAGTAATGACACGTGAGGTTCTTTTGGTATTTGGGTATTGAGGTAATTAGTATCTATTTGCTTTTTTTTTTTAATATTTCGATAGAAAAAGTTAAGTTTAAGTGTAAATTAAATGTGACTTAAGATAAGTCACAATTACTTAAGTAGGTATTTTGTTTTAATTATTACTTTTTGGCTTAATACGAGAAAATTAAATTAAATTATCTTTTAAATTTATTGAGATATGACTCAAAAAGGAAGAAAATTGCGAGGTTTTGTCACTTTCTTTACTGTCATAGTTAATTAACAATTACTCATTAAGTTATAAACGTATCATAATGATTTCTTCATAAGAATATTCAAAATTAAATTCTCTGTATATCCTGTAAGAATTATATTGTTATCAATTTGTTATCAATAGTTATTTTTTAATTTAAGTCAAAATTCTACTAAATTATCATCAAAATATGAGAATTTTAATTACTTTGCACAACAATTTGCTTGAAGTATGTTAATGTCCGTTAAATTGTCTTTTTAATGAATATTTACTCAATATTCTGCGGTTAATAATCATTAACATATGATGCAAAAAGAAAAAAAAATGAATATTTGTCACTTTTTTAAATTTCATAGTAAATTAACAATTACTTGGAAGGTAATCAATATATTTTAATTATTTCTTCATAAATATTTTCACAATTAAATTCTGTATCTATTTTGTAAATATTATATTGTTATCACGTAATTATCACTAGTTACAAGTCAATTTAAATCAAGTTTTTATCAAATTTTAACTCTAATTTACAGTTTTTGAAATTTTATTATTGAGATATTTTGTATTTATTTTCTAAATTTCAATAAAAAAAGTTAAGTGTAAATGAAATGTGACTTCAACTACTACTGTTGTAGCTATTAGTTTGTTATTACCATTACGAATGGTAATAGTGAAAAGATTACAACGTATTACAAGACGGATGAATACATGTTTTTCTGGCGAACCAATAAAACTTAAATTATTACGCAAGTAACACGTAGATTCAGTTTACGGGGTTTTTAGATGAAAGTTTAATCATAAACACGTTATCAATTATTTTTTTCATTGAAATTTAAATTATATATTGCATCATATTCAAGAAAAAAAGGTAGCAAACATTAAATGCACAATGTTTTGTTTTATTATTGCTTCGAATTATAGTAGAAATGTAATAAACAATTGTTTAAATTATATATTTTTGGAGATATTAATTTATATTATGAAAAATAATTTGATAACGCTGTTAAAAGCTCAGATAAAGTTAAAATTTAAAAGAAACTTGTTCTTTATTTGAAATATTTTTGGTATACAAGCAAAATAATGCAGAAATTTAGTTTTCGCGGTTTTAGGATGAAAGTTTTGTCATAAACACGTATATATTGATAATATTTTTTATAAAAATCTAAAAGAATTCAAAAGAATCGCAAAAATTACTTTTTAATAGAATTTTTTTTTGAATTTTTGTAATTTTTGAGTAAATTAGTTTCAAAAAATATATTACTAGTATGATAAACAATTCTTTAGATACTTTTCAAAATTATCTATCTTTTATTGTTTTTATAGTATCAAAATTACTTTGATAACACAGCCAAAATTGCAGTTAAAGTTTATGAAAAACCTGATTTCATGGATACAAGTGACAATATTACGTAAATAACCAAAAATTCAGTTTTATGCGGTTTTAAAACGAAAGTTTAATCATAACCACATTGCAACCACTTAAAGGGTATTTAATTACCTCAATAAATTCTCATTTTAATCAAGTTCTTGTCTCGTGTGATTTTCATATTACGAAATATCCAACAAATAAATTTTTTGCAGCAAAAAACTTAAAATTTTACTGGAATAATCCTCATTTTCACATCTTTTTAAATTATGTTATTCTACGTTAAATTCTTTTTTAAATAAGTATTTATTCCATTTTCTGAGATTATTATTACTTGATTTATAATGCAAAAAGTAAAAATATTGCTTGTTTTCATCACTTCTTCGATTTTTATCATTAATTAGCAATTACTCGAAAAGTAATCAATATATTTTAATGATTTCTTTGCAAATGCATTGAGAAATAAATTCTGAATCTATTTTGTATATAAATTAATTATTATCAGTTTCTTAACAGCAGTTATATTAAAATTTATGCTTAAATCTATTTTTCTCAAGAAAAATCTTAAAATCTCACCGGAAAAATCCTCACTTTCCGCATCTTTTGTACTTTATATATTCTATATTCTATATTGGCTCAATAATTACAATTTGGTTGCGATTTTCGTTCCTGTGTGCGTTTATGCTTGTGTTTGTGTGAACGCTTTCGATTTCATCCGATTCGTTCAATCGTTAAAATCGCTAACGACCTGTACGCGAATCGCATTCATATTTCAATCGATGCAGCGATTGTCGATTGCGCAGCATCGTGATTTACATCGCAGCATTTGCAAAACGCCGAACATCGAACGCCGTGCAGACTTTTATTACACACCACATTCTAAACTCGATAATACAATGCAACACAATGAGTTTTTGATATTTTATGTTTTATAATGTGTTTTAATCATAGACAAGGAGATTGACTTAGACATAGGCAAGGCAGACATTTATTGAAAATACGTATTGTGATGATGTGATGATAGATCATAGATTGGTTGGAATAATCAATCATTAAGTTATGATTGATATACGAGTATTCGTATTACTTTTTGAAAGAATTGCTTAAAAGGATTTGAATTGACATATTTTTATGGTTATGGTTTTTTGTTTGTTTAATGATTAATTAGATATATTATTTTGTTGGTGTATGGATCATTTATTTTGTTGCTTTTGGGAGGATTTATTTGTTTATGCAAAAATATTCGCAATAACTTCATTAGATTTTGAGATATTGACGATTTTTGACTTGAGTTGTGTTGGTTTTTCAGTTGAAAATTTTTACTCTTTGTTTTATTACGGAAAAATTATAATGCTCATAAACTACTTCTTGGTTAATTGTTAATCTGCGTTAAATTCTCTTTTAAATAAGTATTTATTTAGTTTTCGGTGATTATTATTAGTTGAGTTATAGTGCAAAAAGTAAAAATATTGTTTATTTTCATCACTTTGTAGATTTTTATAGTTAATTATCAATAACTCGAAAATTAATCAATATTTTTCAATGATTTCTTCGGGAATATATTAAGAATTAAATTCTGTGTATATTCTAGTAATAAATATATTGTTATCAGTCCTGTATCAATAGATATAAGTCAATTTATATCTAAAATTCTACTAAATTATCAAAAACATTGAAATTCTCAAGTACCTTTTGTCTTATTACGTAATAATTATAATTTGTGCAAACTATTCCTTAAAGTATCTTAATCTAGGTTAAATTCTCTTTAAAATGTGTGTTTATTTAGTTTTCTCTGGTTATTAATAGGTGCGTTATAGAGCAAAAAGTAAAAATATTGCTTATTTTTATATTTTTTCGATTTCTATAGTTAATTAGCGATTACTCGAAAACTAATCAATATATTTCAATGATTTTTTCATAAATATGTTCACAATAAAATTCTGAATCTATCCTGTAAATATTATATTGTTATCATTTTGTTATCACTAGTTACAACTCAATTTATATCAAAACTATACTAAAATATCACAAAACCCGAACTTTAATTGCTCATATCTTTTTATTTATTAATTTTACCAATAATATTTATACATAATTAAATCCACAATTTAATTATGAATCTATTTCTGAAAGAAACAATACTCTATCTCAATTCCAACCACCAAAAATTCGCATTTTTCCTACTGCAACACAAATTTTTCTACTTTTTTCTAAAAAATCCACATCTTTTCCGATTGAACTCCGATTGAAGTGCAAGTGCAGCAAGGTTTTCGTCCACAAATGCGTTTCGGACCTCGCAACGCGCGGAAAAAGAAAGTGCCCGAGTACGTTGCACTCTCACAACGCTTCTTCTCCGCTCATAGCTTACGAGTAGTTCATATACCGTACACTCTGGTATTACTTGCGTTGTTACTTGTTACCTGTTACCATTCCTCACGAAGACTCGACTCTTCATCAGGTCACCGGCACGGCCGATGCCGATGGAAACGCAGATAAAAGGAAACCGATAAAAAGCACGTTTTGTTATCGGCCCGCTCAATCGTATCTCACATTCACATTCAATGTTAATGACACCTATTTTCTCGATTCGCTTCATTGCCTAGCAATTCTTTTCGATAAAATAAAATTCAGGGATGAGTAATACTCGATTGAATAAATGATTGTGGAATTTGAAGGACGTTGATGGACGCCGAAGAAAGTAGAGAGAATGTGTGCTCGTAAGCGACGACCTTGAAAAGGTCACATTACTCTCCTAGAAGAGTGTTTTTGGATTTTTGGCAGCCATGTTTAATTTTTCTTCGTGTGGAAATTGTGGACGTGAGCGAGAAGCCCGCGGGCGGTTTTCGTAACACTTTCATAACACTTCTTGCGGCTTGGTTGTGTGTTGCTGGTAGCTTCCCATCGCTTCGATTTACTTGCGTGTGCACACGCTCGCCGTTCACATATTTAAATATTACACACTCATCTCATACATTACTTTACATTACTTTACATTACTTAAATTACGCATTTACATTTGCGCCGCGTGTTTCATTACACTACATTGGAGGATTACTACACTGCGCTTTTTATTATGTGGATTATATGATTTTCAATTAGTTAAAAGTGAAAGATGGAGGATTTTTTATAATAATATTTTTGTTTGGTGTTGAAAAATGGGTTTTTAGCAGTTGGGGTTTAAGGAAAATTAAATTTTTCTCTAAAAATTACATTTTGTGAAAATTTGAACTAATTTCTTTGATCTTTTGGTTTTGTTATTGATTTGCTAGTGCGAAAAGTGTTTTTGCTTCTTTTTAATAGCAAAAGCTTTACATTTTTCAATATTGCGTGAATAAAAATGTGTTTTTAGCACTTGGTGTTTAAGAAAATTTTACTTTTGTGCTAAAAATTTGATTGAGAAGTAATATTTTCTATTTTTTGGGTTTAAGTATTTTTTTATGAGTTATTTAATAGAATTATATTTGTTAAGTATGTAAAATTGTGTTTTTCACACTTGGGTTTCAATATTTTATGAAAATTAAAGTTGATTTGAGTAGAAAATGATGATTAAAGTACGTGATATTAAATAAAACTACGTTTTCTTTTCAAATTTTACTAGAAATTTATTTTTAGAGACATTTACGTAGGTGTAAGCTCCACCCCGTGACTAAAGCTCGTCAGAAAACTACTTTAGTCACAGCCTTGGCCATCCATCTTTATAATACCACTTTTTGTGTCTCTAAACCGTGGAAAAAACATATTTAAATAATAATTTACGATAATTTTTTTATTTTCAACTATTTTTTACCTTTAAATGATTAATTATTAATATATTTCTTTAAATATTCTACAAAACATCGAAAAAAAAAGGTGAAATTAATCACAAAATCTACCAAACTTAATTATTTACTTATTCACATAACATGTTTACCCAATTTATCTCCACTTTAAACCTTAACGATCTTAATTCAATTGTTTTTCCTAATTTGCGATTGCGTGCGGTGTTATGCTATGCTCTTGCTCTCTGCGCGCGCGCACCATTTGTGTTACTAAAACACAAATTTGTTAACAAATCGTTTCCACACCGGGCGTTAATTGTAATGTGTTAACACTATAACGACTATATTTCTCCTCCAACAACAACAACTACAACACTACAATCATTCTTTGCCTATACAAACGAGTACAAAACGTTTGTGTCTCATTCGTTGTTTTTTTTTTTTGACAAATTGCTGCAACTCATTCTCATCACATCGACATAACCTGTAATTAATGAGCGGTTACAATGCGCGGCGACAACCGTTTGTTTCTTTCTTCTTTTTTGCGTTGTTTGTTTGTTTGTTTTTGTTGCGTGAATAATCGTGACTTGATATTAATAAAGATTTTTAATTGCAGATGCAAACCGCAGGCATAACATGCACATCAAAACTGGGTAAGTTCTATGCAAATTTTTATTCTATTTGTTTAAATATAAATACATTAATTGTTTCTGCGCGTACCGGAAATATAATTGTTTATTATCATTTCGAATCTTTAAATCAAGATTGAGATAAATTTTCACTTTTTTTCTTCTTCTTGTTTTCTTTGATTGTATGTTGTGATGTGCATTATAATCAAAACAATTGAATTTTTATTACGATGAAAGTTTATTTATTTTTATTTATTTAAAAAATATAAGAATTTTGTTTTTAATAGTTGCTGCTTGTCATATTGAGCAATATTTACGCGTATTGCGGATTTTACGCTCGGCAGACGTAATAAATATAATGAGTCTCTGCTCCTTTTACTTTTTCATCTTTTTCAACATCATCTTCATACAGATTGTTCGAAAAAAACTAATTATAATAATGTTGTGATAAATTTGAGCGATGAGAGAAATGTCAACCGTGGCAAAATGGCCGTCGGATATAACCTACTTTTGTTTGCCAATGCAAATATATTTTTTAATATTTTATTTGAGTATTGAGCGTGTTGCGCATGCGCAAGAGATGAGATTGCAGATGGTAAATCACTATTGGATTTTATTTCTCTCTGTGTGTGTTTGTGTGTGTGGATTGGCAATTGGCAATTTGTTTGCTGGGCTGGATGCTGATGTGAACAAAGTCGTTGCAAACATTTTGCAATCGCGACGAGCTCGCAAACAGATTTATTAGGCGGACGATGCGCCGAGTAATGCTTAATTATCTTGAGTAACGTGACGCACTTCCACTTCAAAATCTCGAGAATAGATTTCGTGTTTGTTCAGCGATGCATTGAGTGTGTTTAATTAATTCATTAAATAATTATCTTAAGATGGATTTAATTATAAGAAAGTAGAAAATTTAGGTTTAGAAAAATTCTTGAAATTTGGAGTTTTATTGCAATTTTCAGTAAAATTACTGCATTTTTCTTTGTTTTAATGTTTTAGAACTTTGATAATTAATACCTAAATTGAAAAGGAGTATTTTTTGTCTAAATGAATCATTTTACTAGTCTAACTAATGTTATAAATACAAAATTTGTGTTTTTGTATGTTTGTGACGCTTTTATGTAAAATCCATCTAACAAATTTTAATAAATTTTGGTATAGAGATAGTTTAGATACAGGAAAAGAATATAGGCTACTTTTTTTTTGCGAAAATATAACCTAAAAGGTGTAAAATCAGTCATTAAAGTTTTACTTACATAATCGAAATCTAGATGTCGTTAAACCGATTTATTAGCATTTCTCATTTATTTAAAATAAAATCCGAACATTATAGGTCATAGAAACAAGAAAATAATTACTTGAGACTATTATTTATTCAAACAGTATAAAATTACATTACTTACTTGCATTATCCATAGAATAACATAAAAAAGTCATCAACTCGTATTATGCGATGGTCATAAAATCGAAAAGGAAACTAATTTTGCATTCTTGAGTGGTCGTCGTGGTCTCCGCTTGTTTTGAAAATCGCACACGTGCGACAAATGCGAAAGCGTGTTTTCACCGATTGATAAACCAACAATCACTCCACTATCATCAATCCAATACCTATCTGTGTGTGTGTATATATATGTGTTTGGGGAATTTTCTCGTCTTCTTTTTACTTGATTTCTGAACCAACTCGAATCGAATTCAATCGAAGTGCATTATTTAATCAGGCAATGAATGTGAATGCTTTCTCGAAACATTGAATAACAATTAATCGACATTGCGTCGCGATGCGTACCTACGCTCTCCATGAATGTCGAGTTTAATTGCTCCGCAGCGCCAAACTTGTCCGAAGAAAGTTTTGTTAGAAATTTTATTTATTAAACCGCACGCGTTATTTTTTATTAATTTTTTTTCTTCTTTTGAGGGGAATGTTATTTGAACACTCTGTATATTATGGTGAAAGTTTATTTATTTATTTGGTGATTGATTGATGTGTGCTATATTATGACCGGAAGTGGATGGTTAAAAATTACAAATCAAAAATGAAGAAGAATTTTAATTACTTAAATTTATTTAAATAAATTAAATGTACATAGGTTAATTTTAAATTTTTTTGCCGAAATTTGACGTGTCGAAAGCTTGCAATATGGCTGCTTGATCGCTATCCCCTTCGGTTACTCCGAAAATATTGGTTAATTCATGTTTTACTTGACTTTTTACTTGATTTTCTAACTTTTTTGTTTTTTCGGTTTTAATTTGATCTATATTATTACTATTGATTAAATTATTATTATTTAATTCTGAGTCTTTGATAATTTTACGGTCATTCGCTATCATTTCGATGATTTGTTCTGATTTTTGTTTTTGTAAGGCTTGTTCTGCTTTTATCCTTTCTATAATAATATTTCTACGTTTTCTTCTTCTTTATCTTCTTCTGATGATTCCTCTGAAGAATCATCAATTTCTTCAATGGATTCTATGACATCTCCACGTCTTGGTCCTTGTGAATGTTTATCCTCTATCTTCTTAACGTCTATAATCGGGAATGTTGGAGTGTTTACTATTGGTTTGTCTTCTCCTCGAAGAATCCTTTTGGATGTGCTTCCTTTGGGAGTTGTTTGTAGATGTAGTTGACGACGATGTTGTTCTTGGGTTTGAATGCTTTGAATTGTTTGAATTTTTCGGTTACCATTGATGTGGAGGTTACGATTGTTGTTTTTATTGATGTTGTTGGAGGTGATAATGTTGTTGTAGTTGTTGTGGTTGTAGATGTAGTTGGAGATGTTGAATTTGCGTCGTTTGAATCTCCGAATCTGGAAAATATTAACACGTCGTCTTCGTCATCGTTGCTGAATGTATGAATTGGTTGTTGTGGTTTGATTGCTGCGTTGTTTTGTGATATGTGGATTAGTGGTGGGAATTCGGTGACTTTTGCTCGGCGGGTTTGTATTTCGCCATCGAAGGCAAAACGACTTGTTAAGGGAACAATGGTTTCATCTGTTGTTGAATCTGAAGTTGTTTTTGTATTTGTCTGGATGTTTTGACTGTTTTCTGAGTTGATAAGTTTTATGTGTTCTTGTCCTGATATAGAATTAGTTATTCCTCCAACAAGTTGTTTTATAGAATCTTCGAAATTTTGTGCAATCTGCGAATTTGGTACAAGTTCAAATTTTTGTTTTGGAGGTGAGTTTGTTGTTGTCGTTGTTGGTGGTATTATTGGTACTGCTGGTGATGGTGGTCCTGGTGGCATGTATACTGTTGATAAATATAAGCCGTCTTTGTTTTTTGTTGATATCTGAGGTTGTGTTTGCATTTTTGCAGCTTGAGGGTTGTATACAGCTGAGACGAATGGTGTCTTGTCGTAAATGTCTGTTTTTATTACAATTGGTGTTGTTTTCTGTGATTGAACTCTGTTAAGTGGTACTGGATGGAATTCGGTGTTTGCTTTTAATTTCTGGAGTTGATCCTGTAGATTATTTTCTACCACTTTGGTAATTTCTTGGTGGGCTAAGTTTGGGCCGAAATTAGAATTGAATTCTGATTGGATTTTCAAATTCTGAAGTTGATTCTGGAGGTTATCTGCTACGGCATTGGTGATTTCTTGGTAGGTCTTCATTTTCTCAGAATCGAAATTAACCAGTGATGATTTTTGTGACTGTTGTACATTAGAATGGAATTCTGTATTGCATTTTATCTTCTGGAGTTGATCCTGAAGATTATTTTCTACAACCCTAGTTATTTCTTGATGTGCTAAGTTCGGACCAAAATTAGAGTTGAATTCGGATTGGATTTTTAAATTCTGAAGTTGATTCTGCAAGTTATTTGCTACGGCATTGTTGATTTCTTGGTAGGTCTTCATTTTTCCGGAGTCAAAATTAACCAGTGCTGGTATTTGGTATTGTTGGGCATTGGAATGAAATTCTCTGTTGGCTTTTAACTTCTGGAGTTGATCTTGAAGATTATTTTCTACCACTTTAGTAATTTCTTGATGATTTAAATTTGGACCAAAGTTAGAATTGAATTCAGATTGGATATTCAGATTCTGAAGTTGATTTTGAAGATTATTTTCAACTGCATTTGTAATTTCTTGATACGTCTTCATTTTCTGGGCATCAAAATTAACCAATGAAGATTTCTGTGATTGTTGGGCATTGGAATGAAATTCTGTATTAGTTTTCAATTTCTGAAGTTCATTCTGGAAATTATTCTCAACAACTCTAGTAATTTCCTGATGAGATAAATTGGGACCGAAATTTGAATTAAATTCTGATTGGATTTTCAGATTTTGAAGTTGGTTCTGCAGGTTATTCGCCACGGCGTTATTAATTTCTTGATACGTTTTCATTTTTTCTGCATCAAAGTTTACCAGTGAAGATTGTTGAGATTGTTGTTGTGTATTGGAATGAAATTCTGTGTTAGTTTTCAATTTCTGCCACTGATCTTGAAGATTATTCTCAACAACTTTAGTAATTTCCTGATGAGCCACATTAGGACCAAAGTTAGAATTAAACTCGATTGTGTCTTCAAATTCTGCAGTTGATTCTGTAGATTATTCTGAATCACATTTGTAATCTCCTGATACGTCTTCATTTTTCCGAATCAAAATTCACCAATGAATTTGTCTGCGCTGTTGAAAATTTGAACTAAACTCAGAATTACCTTTTAATTTCAGTAGTTGATCCTGTAGATTATTCTCAACCACCCTAGTAATTTCCTGATGAGCCACATTAGGACCAAAGTTGGAATTGAATTCTGAATGTACCTTCAAATTATGCAGATTTTCTGAAGATTATTCTCTACCACCTTAGTAATCTCTTCATGAGCTGCATTTTTCTGAATTTGATTCTGATTCACTGCCAGAGAGTCAAAGGGAACTACTTTTACCATATCAGGAAACACCTCAAATGGTTTATACATGAATGTTGAAGTAAGTGGCGAAAATTCATCATTGCTCTTCAGTTTATCAAGTTGCCCTCGAAGATTGAATTCTACAACGTTTGTAATTTCTTGATGAGACTTCAAATCATTCTGAT